TTTTATTTATTTCTGTTTTAATTTTCCTCCTGTTTATACATTTAGACAGAGGCACATCTAAGGTATGGCAAACATGGCACATGCCATGGATGCCAATCACAAGAGGCACCATTTAGACTATAACTGCTCAAAAAAATAACAACTACCCTAATTTGAAGTAGCCTGACAGGGGCGCAAATTCTACCCAAACTATGGGCACCTGAATACCTAGATATATCTCTACATTTAGTAAAGTGATAGTATCGTAATGTTGAAAACTCTGATGTTGAAATTTTGACTGAAATACATTTTAGGCATTCGCAATACCGGAAAAGTACTTATTTTAAAATCCTTTGCCCATCTCCCTGTAGACAACACTAGCATCTAAACCATTCATGGAATTTTTTCCAAAATGTTCCTTGATTGAGGTGGCTGCACACAAGACCCCACAAATTTGAAACCTCTTTTAATTTTTGGCAGTACTTTGTAGGAAGCTCCTTGGATATTTCCAAAATGTTCTCAAAAACTGCTCCATTTTTTTTTCTTTGAATTTTTTTGTTGGAAGTACACTCATATACCATATGGTAAAGGTCCTATTTTCATTAAAATTTCAGAAATTTCAAAACTTGCGAAAGTTTATTTTTTAAGAATCTGTCCAAATCCTTCAATATTGAACCTAGATATTTTTCTTACTTTGTGCAATTCTAAATACATTTTTAAATAATTTCATATTCAATATTTTTTGAAATATGTAATGTATTCACATTAGTTTGTATGTACTTCAGACAATTTCCCACTAATACGTAAAAAATCCAACTACACCTTGATCACATCTTTAATGTATATTCCAGATCTAACCATCAATGTCATGTTATTTAGATATGTAGATAATGCAATACTTCATTTTAGAAAAGATCAAAACACCGTAAGTAACTTTTGTAAAGTTGCCAACATATTTTCTGACATTTAACCACATAGTCACTTGTAAATTGCCACTTTCCCATTGCAATGAAATGATGAATGATAGCATTGTTAGGATATTGTATTAAGGACATTGAAATGTTAGTGTTATTATTGTACTTGGAAAATACTTGAAAGTTTCCCAGTAATGTCTTGTTTTGTAATGAAATCTGTAAAGCCTTACAATATCTGCAAATGAAAATAATGACTAATAACTAGAAACCAGAAAAATATGTAGAATGAAACGTCGAAATATGTACATAATTATGTAATGAAAACAAGAAGAATATCTAATAAATATATAAAATCAGATATAATATGTAATATTAAAATTCTCTAATTATAAAACACCTTTTTTACAAAACACAAAATTACATTTATGAAACATTTTCTAAACAAATTTTTAAAATAATACAAATGTTTGAAAAATCATTTGGAGAGCACAAGATGATCCATTCTTTACACCACACAACTTTACCGTCAGTAGAAAAACTTCATCGATTGTTATCCAGGACCGTAGTTCAGCAGCCAGACCAAGGCACTTATGAATAGTTACAGGCACCTTGAGCAATATAAGCTATTGTACAAATGGGTGATGTCTACGACCAGCAAACAATCACTCCAGCGTGCAACATTCCCATCGAAGTGTTACATGTCTGCGATTGACAAAATTGTATCGGAAGTAAGGTTAAAGGTCATGAAATGGCATCAATTATAATTTTCACACCTAGATTACACCAATAATGTAGGGGAAAACGCTGATATTCAGCAAAATACTTCTTTTCACAAGAGAATATGTAATAAAATTGAAGAAAATTAATAGAATTAAAAAAAAAAAAGAATTGTGAAAATAACAAAATATTAAAATATGTACTATAGTACTAAAGATGTAAAAATATGTTACCAAAAAATCAGATATTATGTTAGGAGACTGACAATTCACCAAGATTACAATTTTAAGAATGGTAAGTAGAAAGACAAAAAATATGTAATTATATAAAAGTCCAATCTTTACTAATAACAACGACATTGATGAAAATATAATTAAGATTTTTTTGTTCTCAAAAATGTCTTTTAATTTTTTCTTTGAACTTCTTAGTTAGGATAAATATAACATTCTGAAATCTATGGTACAAGAGCAGTTTTAGTTACTCTTCAATTTTCCAGAATAAGTTATTTTTTTAACAATTTGCACTTTAATATTTATAGCAGAAGTGAATTTTACAATTTATCATCATTCATTTGTAGACAAAAATGCAACAAATAATCTCTTATAATATTTTTTGAAATCTCCAGTTGTTGAATATTAACAACATACAGGATGAGTCATGTAACTTTTGAACAGTTGAAGTTATTGCAATGCAAATTTTCACGGAAGTGCACGAGGAAATGGGGTTAATTAATTCGTGTATTCCATTTCTATTTTATCACTTGTATTTTACGTGATATTTGATGTAACTTGGTTTTTTCAAATGGAACTATACATATTTTTTCACTTTATCATAATGACCGTAAAAAGAAGAATCCAATGATAAATATTTTCATATGTTAGATAAGCATTTTTTGAGTAATTTTAATTTTTTTGTGACTAGTCTTTAACAGATATTTTGAATATAACAGTCCAGCACACAAGGTCATGCAGCACACCCCCTGCTAGTGAGCGCTCGGGGAAGGAAAGGAATCTGAGTATTTGAAGATACGAAATATTTCCCAAATATTCACAAAACTGTTGCAAATGTGTTTAGTTCAAAGATCTCAAGATCACATTAATATCCTGTGGTATGACACCCCTTTAAATGGCTTTTGTTCCAAAACACTAGTTGAATCAGTCTTTGGACTACTCAAGATCTTTTTTTTCTTCTTTCTTTCTTTCTTCCTTCGAAAGAAATTTATTTAATAATTACTTTTTATCTGAATGATTTAGTAAACTGAGGAAAATTGAAACATAAAATTAATCTGAAAAAAAGTTTAATGAAAGATATTCAAATGACTTTAAATTTTGTATTTACTGCACCCTTGCACGAAATGTACTTCTATTATTCAAATTTTTCTGGGGTATTCAATAATTTTCCAAGTTGACACAAGATCATTTGTCTGTCATAAAAGAGAGATTAATAGAAGCAGTACACAACAGGTCTTTATATTTTTCTTTTTTTAATACATGCAAATTTAAAATCTAGTCCTTAGTCAGTCATTAAGTTTTCTCACAAATTGGTAATATTTTAGTAACTGATATTAATTGTGTTAATAATAATTTTACTAAACCTACAATACATAATAAATACACAAAATCTACAATTATTACTAAAAACTAATAAGTAAATTAAACAAAAATAATATTTTACTTCTCTTCAAACTTATACATTCTACCCTCCTCCCTACCTACTTAGTATGTAGAATAATCTTACAACATAGAATGACATTTCTGAAAAGATGAAATTTCTGAAAGATGCCACTGCAGAAAATACATTAGGATGATATTTTGTTGATATGATAAGATGTTACAATTATTCAAGGAAAAAATCAACCAAAATATAAATAGACCAAAGTAAAATTTAAATAACTGTACAAAAGATTGGTGATTAATTAATTTACAAAGAATTAACTCAAATATGTTTTAAATTATTATTAACAATGAAATAGATAATGGAGAATGAAACATTTATGATTTTATCATGTGATTAATGATTAAATTTTTTATTATATTTATACGTTTTACACATTTTTAAGCTTACTAATTTTGAAGATGAAATATTACATTCATATTATTGATAAATTCATAATAAAGGGTAATATGTGGAATTGAAAAACAATGTGCAAGAGAAAAACAAGCAGTAAAAGAATTGCCTACCCTAATTCTAATTAAAAAATATTCATAAATAAAATAATTTTAGAAAAACACTTATACCTATATTTGATGCTAGGATTAATCCTTTTGAATATCTATTAACAAAAAATTTATTAAAATATAAAATGAAAAATCAAAATGCCTTTATTTACATACAAAATTAAACAAAAATTCTATCAGCATCATCATGTACTGAGGGATGACAGGCCTGAGGCCTGGAAAAGTATTATTAAATTTTCAGGTTTTCCCGAGTCATTCACTTTGGTCTTCCTATCTCTACATTAGTGATTAGAATTTTACAGTAGTATTTTAACATCCTCTATAACAATATCACAGAAATGAAAGATAATCAAAGCAAAATAATATTTTTAGAGCAAAGAGAACAATATTTCGCTCTTGAAATAAAAGTGATATGCCGATGAAAGATTGCGCTTGTACCGCCATCTTCCCACTTACCAAATAAAACTTTCTATGTCATGTTATTGGAACTAATACAGTGGGGCCTGGAGATAAGGATAGGAATGCCGGAAAAAGGCAGTTTTGTATGGGAGTCTTAATCTCCTATAACCCTTAGCAGATTAAACACACTGTACTCAAGAAGGTATGAATTTTTGTTTTATACTTTCAATATAGTATTTTGAAACAAAGTATAGTAAAATCGTCACTACTGTAGGAATTAATAAGTTCTCATGGGATATCACTACAGAAAATTTGCTAGAGAATCATCAATCCATTCATCAATTTTATGGTTTCAATTACTTTCAGATTCAACAGTCCCATTGTATCTCAAAATTTATGAAAGCTAGTGCTTCAGCTTCTACTACAAGAAGGTAATTGAATTCAAACTTTTATGATGACATAGCTTTCAGCATAGAACAATTTTTAAAAAAGCATACTTTAGCCCTTATAATACATACCACGTATGAAGTAACATTCCACTAACTTCTTTATCAAAAACAGAAAACCCTGTGAAACATGTTGGGGAAGGAAAAAAGTTACATTTAGTGTTCAAAAACATCAAAAGGAACAATCACAACATATGCTCAATGGATCACAGGAAATGGAACAAAAACTTTAGGGATGTCTTTGGCTCAGAAGTTGATTACAAACACAGATTACACACAATTGATATAGAAATGGTTCAGATTTCTTGTGGTGACTAGTGTAACAACACTCTTGAGAGGGTTTACATGTTTATATTGTAAAATTATACCTATTGTTTCCATCGCCGAGAGTAAAGGCTTCCTCTTTGACAAGAATATAGTCATCTTGATGAGGCTCTTTAACAGTAGCACCTTCATTATCACTATCTAGATCTTGGCATGAAAGGTCCTGATAAGTATTGTTTGATTCCAAATCAGTCTCACAAACTGCAATTGCATAAACACATTTAGAGTTACAGTACTTTTCTAAGGTAAAATTTTTTTAAATCATAAGAAACATTACTCACTCTCCACTTTAACGTTTTGTATCTGTTGTGGAATGGGTTCCACACAACTTGGCAAGGAAAGAAATTTCGAAACTCCAGATACTGTGATATCCTAGAGAGAAAAAAATTCTTAAACCACATGCAAAAACACCTGACAATATTGATGTAATCATGTGTAAAATGTTTAAACACATGTAATTGAACTTAGATAAACCTACTTGTGAGTCAATAAGAAGAGAAGAACTGTCGTGAGACGTTTTCAAAACTTTCTCTGCCAAAATACAGGACTGACGAAAGGATTCAAATTCTTCCAAAGTTTTCTTACAAGTCATACATACTGTTTTTGGAAGTGGATCATTTTCTGAAATCTAAATTACCAAATCAATTATAACATTTCCACATTGAAGAATTAATTGGGTACTTTCAACCTAGATCTTGAGCACAATAACACACTTAGACAAATTAACAAGAACACAAATTGTGATCTTTAGTTGCTATTCTGTTTCATCTCCATCAGATACTAATTGTTTGGTTATACTTGTTGAATTTGTTTATTTACACTTAAAATATTTCACAATTAAATAGCAAAGCTATTCTGAGTACAGATTATAAAATGGAGTTGATGGATGATTAAGACTGTATAATTAAATGATAATTTGTTAATATCTCACAATGTAAACAAAACTAGATTAGTAAACATTGCATTTACTAAACACTCACATTTCCCAGAACAGTTTATAATAAGCGTCAGTATTCAAAAATTTTTGTTTCCTAGTTAAATAATGTGTAGGAAACCAGACAAAGTAAAAAGGGAATTGTTTCTGGTATTTCTAAATATGCACAAATATACATTGACAGGTAGATGTAAGGTTATGTTGCAACGGAATTTTAATTTTACAAAACTACACTGAAATCTCTTAAAAAAATGATGGTAATATAACGGAATTCACTTTACGGACACAATTTCACATTATATTCCACTGGTTCCAATAGAGAATGGTGATCGGTGTAATTACACCTACTGCTGGAGCAATAAATCACATATTAATCATAAATAATCAAAAGAAACTAAACATCCTCGATTAATAACACTCACTCACGAGTCACATTCACCTAAAACACAAGTAAATCCACCCAAACTCACCGTGACTTGTAATCGCTCACGAATGATCTTCACCAAGTTCCGATTCGATGAACCTTCCCCAAATAAACTAATTAAATCACCTGTCGACTTGGCGCATAGACGACACTGTCTTATGTTCACTCTTAGAGCCATTTTTACTCTTACAAATTACGTTTCATAAATTTCCGACTTATATTTCCTTTTACTTAATGCATTCCTTCCCAGCCTCTCCCCGCGCATCTCCGCACACCCCCAGACGGCATATCAGCAAGACGAGACGAATCCACGAATGTCGCGGTTGCTGCTTCCTTTGGGAGCTCCCCGGTCACCTTGCGGATCATTGTGTCTTCTACGAACATACGCAATTATTGTCAATGCAGGTTCGTCTGCGTAAGAATTGTCATTATCAGCGCAATTTTTTGCTCTTTCTTGACGATTATTTTCATTCAAGCGCCTACGGCATTGCATTTCACACAATGCGCTCCCCGAAAGATGATTGCTTGTGAATATAAGACAGTGTATATATATTTTTTTGTTTCTTTATGCCATATTTATTTGTATATTTGATAACTTGTCGATAAAAACAAAATTAAATAAAGCGAGGAGAGGATTTGAAAGTCCGCACGGGGAGAAAAGCGCCAATGTTAAATATAATTAAAAGCAATAAATTCACTCAAACCAAATAATTTAACAATTTCAAACCAGAAATGGTTTATGAAACAGCTCAAATTCTAAGAATTGGTTAAAATAGAGTTTTTTTTAAATTCCTGTTTCTTATGAGAATAATATTACAAGTTGCCATGGAAAGTCAGCCACAATTATGTCGTTTGAACTTTGCCGGCTTTCCATTCAAGGAAAAACAAAAGTTGAGTCGACTCACATGGTCAGTTCCGTACAGCAGTTACTGAAGAAAAGTGAAAAAGAGTTCTTGAGCTGAGACAGCTATGTATAGCTTAATTGAGTAAAGAAGATTAAGTAGGAGGCGGAGAGGGGGGCAATCGGACGATCAAGAGGGTTCAGGCATGTATAGAGATTTTTATGTAAATACATATTTTTTGTCTTTCTACTTACCGATCTCAAATTTGTATTCTTGTCGAATCGTCGCCTTCCTAACACAATATCATTTTTTTTCGTTACATATTTTACAAGTTCTGTAATATATTACATCATTTTTATGTCGTAGGCTTCCGCGGCCAGAGTCATGACGTCGACGCGGCGTCACCCGGACAGCCCAGATCATTACATCATTTTGTAGTTTCATTCTTTTTATTCCATCAATTTTCTTCAATTTTATTACATATTTTTTATAAAAAGAAATATTTTCGAAAACATCAATATTTTTAAGTATTACTGCATGCTGTCTACTCGAACTGCGCTACGTGAAGAAGCGGTCGGATGTCCTCGATGAGCGTGCTTCAGTTATCTCAGTGGCAGGGAATAGGCGTCAGCGACTGAATTTTCACCTTTAGGTGTGAAAAGTATCACTGATGCTGTTTCGTGATCTTTAACCTTAATTTCCGAGAAACTGGTGATCACCGACGTGTAACACTTTGATGAGTGCTGAACGTTGCAGTAATTGTTTCCTTATTGTAAATATCCTCAGCGTGTTCGATGACTTCTATTACATCTAGCCTAGCTGCTAAACTATGGACCTGGACAAAAGCAGATGAAGCTTTTATTACTGACGGGAAAGTTTTATGGTGAAAAATGTGCATCAACTTGTGCGCTCCAAATCATTTTTAAATAGTTTGTTTTATTTTCAAAATTTAATTAGGAAGTTGTTTTATAAATGTAATTTCGAATTATGTAAATGAGTTTAATAAAGAGAGTTTTTAATATTACATGGTACATCCGATTTTTCATTTTTTTTATACATTCTTACTGTTTTCATTACATATCTATGAACATATTTTGATGTTTCATTTTACATATTTTTTTGGTTTCTAGGCATGTAACAACGTATAGTAACGAAACACTATCGCCAGATGGCACACTGTAACCACAACATCATGACGTCGGACCGTAACCTCGGAGTGATCCAACAATTAATAGAAGGCTTCGATGTCGCGGTCCGACGTTTTGATGTTGTGGTTGCGGTGTACCGTCTAATTCATGGGTGCTCAAATGCAAGAATCCGAGCCACACTTCAGTTGACTTCTTGCTCTCCTCCCGTCGCGTCGGGCTGACTCGGGCCGACTCGACCATGATGAAAATAATTATTTCCATCATGGACTCGACAATCAACAGGCCACACTGAATGTCCAGAGGTACGCGCTGGGCCAAGGCACGCGCGGTGGCATGGGGTTACGACACGTATCATTGACTTACCTTAATAAAAAATGTTTCAAGGTCAAAGATTATCATGCTGCAGTAGTTACTCCAAGTAGTTTTCGGCTAATGTCGTTTCGTCGGTAGATGTCGTCAATTCATCGTTTCTCTCTTGAGAACTACTTTCGTTCATTTGTTACGAGATGCATTGTTTCATTCTGAAACTAGTGGGGTTCAAACAGCATAAACGTTCTCGTATACATTATTTCTAACTTTTGCAATTTTCGAGAATTCAGAGAGAGCAACGAAATTGATTGGTATGTGGTTCTTTTAAGGGTCCTTTGTACAATCCGTGAAAAATAGAAACAGTTTTTGAATTCTTTTTTACTCATTTGCATAAACTTCAAGCAGATATTGTGCCAAAATTTTATGTCATCAAATTATGCACGACTTATTTTAAAGCAATTTTAAACTTTTTTTAGAGCAATTTTGAACTTTTTTAAAGCAATTTTGAACTTAAGCCGGCCTGGGTAGCTGAGGACGGTAAGGCTAAAGGGCCGTAGGTGCCTCGTGCCTGACGGATCGCGGGTTCGAGTTTTGAGTGTGTGAGTTTATCTACCACTTTTGAGCCACTTTCACTTTCATGATTTATTTCGTAAAAAGAAAACGTATTGTATTCGTGCGCCGTTACGTTTTATCAATTATTATCATAATATTAAGTTTAATATTCAATGAATACTTTAGTTTTAAATTAAAAATAGTAATAATTTGTTATTAAAATCGTTTAATTCAGAGATGCAATGCGACGAAAGTTTAGGGTATTATATGTTCCATTCTATGATGCAGATGTCAACACATATATTTAAAATAAAAATGCATGATATCGATGTACAAATTAAACATTCGCTTACGTACAAACTTTCCTGTCCAAGACCGAAGAAAGCCGACAGGATTTTACAAAATATTTCAAGTCTCTTCTACTTTTTATTTTTATTAGATTTCTTTCTCATTTCTTCTTATTCTTTTTAGATATATTCTTTCTTTTCATAAGTACTTATTCACAGTACCGTCTCCAGGCGCCTCTTCCCTATTGTTTTGTTTCATTGTTTGTACACTCATTGCGCGAAATATCACAGCGGTTCACGATCACTCGCTTGGCACCTAGAAACAAGACCTTTCTCCGTCAACACTGTTTCCGGTTGCGTCGACCACACTCCAATACGTGGACGTCGCCGCGGCAGCGCTTGACAAGCGGAGTAAGAAAGTGAGGAGCTGTTACACGCCTCTGGAAAACAGTCGAAGAAATTTTCGATACGCGCGACTGGGCTAAAATACAGCGAGAATCAGGATTCCTATTCGTATCTAAAAAACTAAGAACAGGACGCGCGGTTATTTTTATATGTTTCTACAATTTTCTTGTGATTTTCATTTTTATTTTTCCTGCACTTTTACCATTTTATTTTTTTTTCTCTAGGTCTTTTGGGTGGAGGCATAGCTCCCTCGATCCGCCTCCGCGATTATATCAGTAGCATATCCAACAGCTTGAGTAACGCATCTGAATTTGTGTTGATAAAAAAATTTACGTCCCTTTACTTTGTTTTATGGCATTTTAAAAACATTTTAAGTGCAATTATTGATCATTTTTGGTGATGTTTTAGGTCATCAAAATCCGCCCCTTCGTTATTATATTTTCCCATCCTAGGAATACTCATACTATACAAATGTCGAGTGTGATCGGTAAATTAAGAAATGTTTAGGTCGAATGTATCATACTACAGATTATGTGAAATGACGCAGGCTTAACTCAGCTCATGCTGCGATACTGTTTTATTCGTTTAAATGATTATCCGATACAATTTTTACGGAGTAGAGAGAGGGTTTTGTAATGCTGCGCGAGAAAATGACAAATTTTCAGCAGAAAAATATTTATTACAGGGCCCTGACAACGAAAAAGTGCATAAATCCAGTTGATAAATGAAGAAAAAGTATCCTCTAACACGTGGTGTGGCTAGAATCCATTTTTTGGGAGGGGCCCTAATACTGAAAAATCGAATGACAGCAAAAGTTTGTCCTGTGCCTGTCGGTCCATCTGTGAACAACGATAGCGGCTAAACCGTTCAGCAGATTTTCTCCAAAATTGACATTCTCCAATCGGTCTGGCTGTTGTCGCGGGCTCCTAGAATTTGAAACCGATGTTTTAATTTTTGAGGGTACATTATAGGAAGCCCCTGGGACTTTTTGAAATAATTTGATTGATTTTTGTGAAACTATTTTCCAAAAATGTAAGAGAATAATGCAGGTCTCATGTTTGTTGAAAACCCTGTTTTTTTTTTAAATTGCAAAGGTTCAAAATTTTTAGAAGTCTTCCTGCAACTAAAATATTAAAGATAGAGATTTTTTCCTTACTGAAATCTGTCCCTTAAAGATAGATTTTAAAATAAGGTCAGGAACATTTTTTCGAAAATTGTAGTACTTTTCACGTAATTTTGCGTGAAAATATGGGCGTGAAAGGATGTGCAATTTTAGCACCAGTAGTTATTTTATAGTTTTATGAAAAGTTAATATTATTATTATTATTATTAGTTACTGAATTTATTTTGGGGTGGGGAATTTGCCTTAATCCCCCCCGTGCATCCACGTCTGGAAAAGATGATTTCGCTTTGCTTAATAAGATGAGTGAATGAAAAGTAATGCATGTAAAAAATGAGTAATTTTGATGAATATTAAAATATTATATTTAATTATTACATTTTTCTATCCATTTCTATTTTCTTGCAAGAGGTATCAACAATGCTAATTGGCAATACATGTATCCTATACAAATTAGCGGTCATTGTTGCTTGTAAACGATTGCCGCACCGATGACCGAAGGCGGTAATGACGGCTGCCTTTCGTTCGCGTTAATATAAACTAATAATTTTATTAACAGCTAAAATACGCGTCATGCATTGAGGTACATTTATAAAGATCGTGAATACACTGAAATCAACGGTAGAAAGCTGCTTTCGTTTTAGCATTTGAATTAAAAAAATATACGTTTTTTTCACGCTTCT